TGGTATCACACCCCTGTGGAGCCCCCAAGTGACCCGGGCCGAAAGAGTTTGGGTCGGGGTGCTTTACAGGAGCAATTGTTGAAAAAAGCGGTAAGACTGAATTTTGGGGGAAAACGACATAGCTGTTCAATGTTCCAAGTGTTGGTGAGAACGTCGCTGTTGTCGTCCTTTAGTTGGTAGGCGCCCGATCGGATCATCTTGGTCGCCGTATAGGGACTTTTAGTCGTCCGCATCCTTGCCCGCCACGCCCCCTTTCTTGGCTGCTACCTCCTTGCCCTTTCCTTCCTTTGGCCCGCCGGCCTGTCGCAGAAAGCGCTTGAGGAGTTCGCAGTCCTTATAGAGGTGCTTGATGGGGTAGGCATGGTTGGTGCACGGGCTCTCCATGAGCTCGTCGAAGTGGTTAGGTAGGCCCTGCTGGGGCTGCTTGCCCGTACGATCGGCCGTGGCGACTAACATGGAGTCGGCCGATCAGTGACGATCCTTCTTGTTCTTTTTGCCCCTCTGCGTGGAGGGGCCCTCGTCTTATTCCTTGTGCTTGGCCTTGCCCTTGTCCCAGCCCTCGTTAAAGACTGCTCCGACCGCCTCCTCGCCAGAGGCGTGGTTTGTGGCGACGTCGAGCAGGTCGCGGGTGGTACGTGGCTTCAGGCAGCCAAGCTTGTGGATCAGGGACTCGCATGTTGTCCCAAAGAGGAATGCGCTGATGATGTCCACATCGATGATATCAGGGAGGGAGTTGCACCGTTTGGAGAACCTCTGGATGTAATCCCGTAGGGGCTCACTGGGCTCCTGCTAATAGCTCTTGAGGTCCTAGGAGTTCCCAGGGCACACATACGTCCCCTGGAAGTTCCCAACGAAAAGCCTCTTCAGGTCCGCCCAGTCGCGGATGCTGTTATGCGGGGGGAATTCAAGCCATGCTCAAACATGCTCCCCCACACAAATGGGGAGGTACTAAATGATGAAGTGGTCATCATCCACCCCTTCGGTTCGGCAGGCGAGCCAAAAATCTTTGAGCCATATACCGGGGTTCGTCTCCCCGGTGTACTTGGCGATGTTGGTGGGCGGTCGAAAGCGCTGTGGCAATGGCGCTCTCTGGATGTGTTGGCCAAAGGCCCGTGGTCCCGGGCCATCCGGGTAGGGACTTCGATCGTCCAGTCGGTGGCCACGCCTGGGGTGCGTGTCGCTGCTCCCCTGATGGTCCGGCTGGGGCTCATGTCGCCTGCCCTCACCGCCGCTCGATAGACGTCATCATCATGCCCGGCCTGACACCGGTTGCTGATGACGCTACGAGCGTCTTGGTTTGGACTGAGTCGTTCATGTATCGGTGGTCGGTGTGGAGCAGGCGTCGGGTCAGACCGCCGCGCAGCTATGGCCTCCCATGCCATGCTTGGCGGCTATAGCGGTGAGCAGATGGAGTGATCTTTCTGGTGTGTCCCTACTCCCCTAGTGGGGAGAGAGGCCACGAGTCGATGTCGTGACGCAGAGCTCTCCGCCTATTGAATGACAGCAGTTTCCACCAGTGCCCGGAGGTTTCGGTGCACCGCTCGCTCCTAGGGGTCGACAGGCTCAGGGATGCCACATAGAAGCATCACCGCAGCGGCGATGTTCTGGCCGACCCGAGCGAACTGCGGGGGATCGTTCCCCCCTCTATGATGTTGCACTGGACAAGGCGGGCGCGACCCTGAGCGCCGCTCGCCGGGTTACGCGCATGGGGCACATCGTGGTGCGCCGGGCGCGCCGGCACAGGTGGCGGCTGGTTCTGCCACCCATGTTGTAGCTCCTCGCCATGCTCCTATGCACATGCGAGGGCCCCCGTGCGAGGGTCCGGAGGGTTGTGGGTCTGTACAGGCTCTGCTACCACCGGCGGCTGTCCTAGAGCGTCCGCCATAGCGCACTCCCGGGACGGACGATGGCTAGGTGCCATGTCACCGATGCTGGAGCCATCGCTCTCAACCTCGTTGTCCACGAGTTCATGGAAACAGGTGGGAGCGTAGCTTGCCATCCCCACGAATTCGGATGTGAGAGGGGGCAGTGCTAGCATCTTCTGAAGCCCCCGCGCGTACGCATCCACGGGGGACGCGAGGCCATAGGGGAACCAGTCGAATGGCAGTTGCGGTGCAGACAACGTGGTCCCTCCGGATAATCGGTGGAAGATAGTAAAAAGCGAGTAAATAACAGTACGTATGTTACTCACAGTGGGATTTGAGCAGAGCGTTTGCTCGGAATGAAGCTCAGGCGCCTCGTTGTTGAAGTCATTGGGAGTCCTGGAGCCGATGGAGGGTGCCCCTCCAACGGGCGCCAGGACAGGTGCCTCCTTGCAGAGGTGAAGCACGCCGAGCCGGTCAGCGATGAAGTCCAGATTCCCAAAGAGGAAGGTCTGGGATGGCTCGAAGGTGGGTAGAACCCACGTCCCAACGAGTGGGAGTGCGGGAAATTCCAATGAGCCAAAGCGAGTCATATCGCTTGAGCCCGCCATGGCGAAGATGGCAAAAAAGTGGGCCATCCGATGACCAAAAGCATGAACGTACGACGTCTTCCCCACGGACGGTGCCAACTATCGGTGTAGAAAGAGACCAACAAGTAAATATTTGTAGTTTTGCCGTACGTTGTGATCGGAGGTGGCCTAGCACTCAATGACACAGGGTTTATACTGGTTCAGGCAACATGCCCTACGTCCAGTTTGAGTCGGTCGGTGACTTTATTCCTAAGCCCAGGTGCTCAAAGTTTGTAGTGGGGTTACAAACGAGTAGGAGTAAGATGGGGGTGCAAGAGGTCCGATCGAACTCCGGTCTGAAGGGCCGAGAGTGACAGGAGCTCCTATGTGCGTTGAGTATGCGAGCGTGTGTTGATCGTCTCAGATTGATCGTCCTCCTTTTAGAGGGAGTGCATCCCCTTTTATAGATGAAGGTGATGGCCTTACAAGAGAGAGATAATGTGCGTATGCTGCTAAGTCTTGTTGCTCACGCCGTCGGATACAAGATGATGGTAGGCGCCCACAATACTGTTGATGTCAGACGCATGTGGGAGGTTTTTATCGTGTTGTAACATGTATGGTAAATGCCGGCGTCCACAACACTGTGGATGCCCAGATGCATGTGGGGGGCCTTACCGTGCTCGCCTAGTATGGGAACTGATGGCACCCACAATACTGTAGGGCAATTGTAGGCGCCCTCAACACTGTATGGGTTCTGACAAGTCTGGAAGGTTGCAGGGCACCCTTCAGATATGTCATGTCGGTACTATCCTACGGTCGTGCAGGGTACGGTCTTCGGTATGGCGGTTGTCTTGAGTGTCCCGCCCTACTTGCTCTGCTCGTTTCCTGGGTCCTTACCGAGCGGGCGTCCCTGGTCGGTTGGTCCTAGTCGGCTCTGAGTGTGCCGGTCAGAGAAGAGCTGTAAGCAGGAGTTCGGTGTATCCTTCCGGTCGGAGAAGCGGGTCGGAGACGGAGCGTGGAGGCGTGCGTTCGGCCAGGCCTTTCGGTCGGAGAAGCGGGTCGAAGCCAGAAACGAGCGTTGTTCCTCTCCGGCCAGGCCTTCCGGCCGGAGAGGCAGGCCCGAGTTGGAAGCGAGCGTTGTTCCCCCTTGGCCAGGCCTTCTGGTCGGTGACTGGATCATCCTTTTGGCCTGTCGTCAGGTATTTGGGCCGGCCTAGGAGTTGCACGTCGTTCGCAACGTCTTCCGCTGGGCCGAGCATCTGCTGCAGAGCAGGTCCGTTAGGGACCCTGGGTTTATGAACCCGACACCCTTAGTCCACTGATGGTGCATAAATGCACGTAATGAGTAATCGAAGAAGTTCTCACAGCAAATGGTACATGTAGGGGTGGACCTAGTGTGGGAACTGTGGGGGCTCAAGCCCCCCTAGCCGCCAGAGCTCCATGGATTTAATAGAGAGGGAGAAGAGTGGGGAAGAGAGAAGAAAAAGGAGATAAATAAGAAGAGGAGGGGCTGGACGAAGAAGAAGGAAAGACAGCCCCCCTAAGATCCATTATTCCTACGTTCGTCCCTCGAGACATGCATGTTTACATGTAGACTTCATATTAAAGTTGCATTCATTAATGTAAAACTTCCTAATGTCATTTTAATACATACTTTGTAATATCTGTTTCAGTTGTGATAGATTATCAATTATCTATGTTTTTCTTTCAACCATATCGGTACTGCTCTCCCTCAACTCCCCCCCCCTCTCTAGCACCTTCATGGCTTCATGTGTCTTCAGTGTGTATTTACTTGAAATGTTAGCTTAAATTTCTGATGAATATTGTTGCATCTTGTCTTATGGATCAAAATTTCAAACTTTGAACTTGTTAGATGCTAAGTTTTTTTATTTGCATGTTAAGATGAAACTATTGGTTTACTATAGTTTTTTTTACTTAAACCTATCCTTTGAAGTTCATTAAAAATAAGGACTATTTTGTTCTAGATTGTACTCCATGGCATCCAAGATTGACGGCAGTGCTTCAATGCAAGTCAGCTCTAGGAGATGCCAATAGTGCCACCCTCAAGAAATAATATATTAATATTTGAATCTAACAACCACATTGTGTTGCTCCAAATGAATCTCAAAATCCACGGAGGCCATGGCCACCTTTCTTCTAAACTCACCTCCTCCACTGCTCAAGGTATCTAATTTACTCTATCAAAGAATTATATGTGTGGTTGTACTTTTATAAGAAAATATAATACTTACAATTATACTATCAATATACATATGCCATAATGTTTTAGTGTATAAATTTTAAGTGAACTCACCTGCATAAATTGTCATCGATATTCATATAATATTAAATGAATAGTTAGTGCGTTAGCATATGAGTTGTGAAATGCATATTTCTCATAATTACTAGAACATAGTAACTAGCAAGGTGACACGTTCAATCATTTCTAGTACATTATTTAATTTTTATGCAACTCAACTTGCACTCTTATCACCTATTCTACTAACGTGTCCTATAATTTTTATTCAAATTAATTTGGACTCTTCTTATCCATTTTTACTCCGTTGTCCTACTCTATGTCAATGGCTTCGTTACCTTTTGATGTCAACAAAAGTAGTTATTCAATCATTATCAATATTCGGTCTATATCTCTCATTATTGTTTTGGTTAATACCATGTGCTCAAATTACATATGGAACCAAGATCGATACAAACAAAATATTCATATCCTCTTATACAATTTACTTAGACATCCTGTTTTTGCATATCAATGGCTCCATCAACGCCCGTTTTCGTCGCTGGGTATCAAAGTTCTACCATTAGCTCTATGAATTATGCCTTACTAAATTGCCACGTGACCGGGTCTTTGTATTTTGAATTTTTTTTTCTATTCTTAGTTTTCATACTTGAAATAGAAACTATTTTTTAATAGTGGCATGTGTTGGCAACAAGACAAATAGATATAAGGAGCCGTTTGGATCCCTTCATTTTGGAGGAATTGAAATCTACTTAATGGATTAGGCTATTTGACTTGAAATTTGATATTCAATAACTTTTTCAAGCTCGTAAATAAAGCATATCTTAAATTCGTAGGATGGGAGATGGAAATGGATTCTCTATATCACTATGCTATAATTCTACTCTCCAAGCACACCCTTTAACTCACTTCCCTACAATAGAAATGCAACATATAAATATGTCCCTTGTATGTCTAATAATAAATATATAAATATATTTCATATACAACTATATTAGCTTAATTAATTTATGTCTAAATTGTAATTATTAGAATGAATTCAATTCCAAGGATCTAAACAGGTCGTAAGGGTATTTCTGGGTTAATTGTTGCGTAATGGCATAGGTAATTTATCAGCATGTAGAGTGGTACTTTTAATTCCATTTTATAATAACATGGTAATTTCTAGGCCTTGGGAATTATCATGGAGCCTTCTTTTATTGGCCATATACTAGGATAATAGAAATATATAATTATAGCCCATGCATTCTTTTATACCTAATTTACATATTTATTTAAACTTTTTCCATAATAACATATGTTGGAAATTTAGATGTAGATTTTGCCGATAACTTCAAGGATTTATCTCTTTTGTTGCGTCTTGTGTTGTATTCAAGCCTCCAACTAGTAATAATAAGTAAGAATGACATCAAAAAAGTAATAATAAGGTTACTAGTGACCGATGTACCCGTTGACAATAACTTGTTAAAAAAACTATACGGAAGCAGGTAGCATCTTTATATTAATTATATATAATCATAATTATAGCTAATAATTAATTAAGAAGAAAATAGACATCTAAATTCGTCTTGATGAGAAGTTGAATCTAAATGGTCTATACATACATTTACTACACTCTCGATCAACTGAATTAGTTCAGCTTCCTATGCATGCGTATGTTTCCAACTGAGTTAACTCAGCTTCCCACGCTTGCGTATGTAAGTATGTTTATAGAGGTAAGTAAATAAGTACGGGTGTTACGTTACGTGTTATGTAATGTGTACGTGAGCGCTGTACTATGCTCGAAATAAAACAATGCAGGCTGGATTGTCGTTCGTGTAGCAACTGCACATGCACAGGATGCCGCGTACCTTGTTCACCAGATGGCGGTGGGAAAAACTGCAGGTAGCAGAAGGACGCCACCACCAACCCTGCAGAGGCAAGCAACACCAACGAGCGCGTGAGCGTGATGGGATCTCTGTCCAGAAGAGCACTCCGTAGTTGGCAGCAGATGGACGACACGGACAGTTGGTGAGGCAGTTGAAACTCGAAACAGGGAAGTGCAAGTGCGTACCAAGAATCCCACCGGCAAACACGTCCTGCCAGTGGTGCCAGTAGTCGTCCACCCGCGACACCGCCACCATCGCCGCCAGAAGCAGCGGCAGGACGACGACGCAGAGCTTGGCCACGTGGCCGCGCCGGTCGAACGCCTTCACCTTGCCTGCCAGGTACCACGACAGGAAGCCTAGCCCAGCGAAGGACCCTGGAATGGAGTAATGGAGGTCGGACGTGAAGGAAAGGTACGCTCAGTATCAGTCAGCAGACTGTCGAATGTCTGGGTTTCAGAGCTGCAGCCTGCAGGGGTGGTCTGGTCACTTACATGAAGAATGGCCACTTGGGAAGCTCTTGTGCCCTTGTTTGATCACACTCGCGACGCCGTCGCATAGGACTCCTCTTGTGATGTTGTCGTACTTCTGAAAAGGAGCGAGCGAATCACTCATGCATTTTCAGCGCATGATGTGGTGATAATCAAGAGCAAACCAGAACAGAAGAACTCACCGGCACTCCGTCAGGGAAGCAGCGCCAGAAGAAGTTGGGGCGCGGCCGGCCAACGCCGTCCTTGATCGCGTCGGTCAGCACGCCGGTGATGAGCACGGAGAACAGAAGGCCTGCTAAGGCACCCCACGCGAACCGAACCCACAAGTCAGAAGAGTCTGAAGAAGAACAGCTGAAAAAACTGATGATGGCGCCAGGGCCAAGGCCCAAGAGCTTGCCTAGAATGGCGTGGTGCATGTCGTACACGTTCCTCCTCTTCAGGTACACCCCGACGAAGACGATGATCGGGCCGATCACCGCGTATATCTGCGCGATTCAATTCCAAAGCAGCTATCTTTTACTAATCCAGCGACGAGTAATTCTGTTCTGTCGCGGCTGTCGCAGGGAAGGCTGTATATATATACCGGCACGGCCCAGACGGGCACGGTGTTGCTCTTCAACGGATACCGGAGGTCGGTGAGCATGTCCTCGCCGACGAAGCGGTGGAACGGCTCGATGAGGTTGAGCCCGACTTCGGCGGCGACGAGGAGGAGCAGCACGGCCCAGTCGAACCGGTGCAGCCTCGCGACCTTGCCCCCGTGCGTCTTCAGGTACGGGTGCGGAGGCCCCAGGCGGATGGCTGGCGGCGGCATCTCCTCCGGCTGGTCTGGCTCTGCCATGGCAATCCAAGAACGAGATGGTGAACGATCGCGTCAGGAAGACAGGAGGACAGTTGCAGAAATTAAGGCCAAGGCTGGCTGGTATGGCAGCTGCAACGGCCGGTTAGGAGAGGGAGCTGCAGCTTGTCGGTGCGGCAGGTTGCAACCGCCGTGATCCGGACATCTCAAGCTGAGAGGAGAGAGACGACACGGATGGAATTGAACACGAAGTACTCACAGTCACAGAGGAGAGGCGTTGCGTGTTGCGTCCTGCAGCTGCAGAGGTCAACGGCCTCGTCGCCCACGACGAGACGACCTCCTCCGATGTCCGATCCGATCCTCCTGCCCTGCACGACAGCAGAGGCGAACAGATCAGCTGTACAGGCTATAGACTGATTGCACGATGGCAGTACATATAATGCGAGATTTGCAGGGGTTTCTTTTATTTGGATGAAATTGGTGGCCAACCAGGGCAGTTGAAATCGGGCAGGGGCTTTCTGAGGCGGATTTGCAGGGTGAAGGCTGAGTGCTGACTTGGGATGGTAGTTGGTTGCTTCAGGCTTAGCTCGCCGAGCTTGTTCGTCAGGATAAGCAATAGCCAATAGCTACATCTGTGGCGTGTAGCTTGGAATCATCAAGCAAGAAGAAAATATCCAAGATGGCGCGTCTCTGTTCGACGTAACTGATGGTTGCTTCAAGCCTGTTGTACGTCGCCCTGGGCCCCTGACTCTTCGAGGCTAAGCATATGAAGACAATTGGATCGTGCTACTGCATTGACCGAGTCCACGGTCAGCTACTCAGATAGAAGACCGAGGCAGATCGTAAGTTTTTTCACTCTTTTTTCATCACATTAAATCTTTGACACATGCATGGAGTATTAAATGTAGATAAAAAAAATAATTAATTACACAGTTTAATTATAAATTACGAGACGAATCTTTTGAGCCTAGTTAGACCATGATTGAACAATAATTGTTAAATACAAACGAAAGTGCTACAGTGTCAAATACTAATTCCTGACTGCAATCTAAACAGGGCCCAAACAGCGTTCAGAGAATCTGAAAAGGACGGCACGGGTTTCATAAGCTGATGCCGTCTCATGTGCGGGACTGGAACTGGATCGGCAACAGTGATCTGATTGCAAAGTGATCTGAGGGCAATGAGCGTTGGTGATCCTCTCTACTCCGAGGAGCGCGCGATTAGTTGCGTGTTTATATAGCACCAAGTCCCTGCTAATGGGGTTATTACATTGGTGGTTACAAAGTATTGTCCGGCAAAGATAGGTCTCAACAAAAGAACCTATCACTCTCCCTATTCCTATGCTGGTACAAGAAGATTTACATCAACTCAGTTACAACTCCAAGAGGCATACAACTCTATCTTTAATCGCCTCCTTAGTCAGAACTCAGAACTCATAACTAGATCCAGACAAAAAAAAAACCATAGCTCGTTAGCTCGCTCAGATTTTTCTAATGAGCCAAGCCGCTTGTTAAGTTAATGAGCTAGCTCACAGACTAAACAAGCCAAATACTTTGATGTTATGAGTTGTGATGTATGCATGATATTGAAGTCTGAAACTCATGTATGCTATGCATATTATTTCATCAAAAAATATTATATATTTATTTTTGTTTTATGTTTGTATAGAACAAGTTAGCAATTGCTAATTTATGCATTCGATGTAGTTGTTAATGAGCCAGCTCATGCACTAAACAAGCTGAGCTGAACTATCTAGGTAACTTAACGAGAGCAAGTACAATAATGGTTTTATAGCCAAGCTAATGATGATGATGTGGATGAGAGACGATAGAAGAGAGGAGAGAGATGACAGCTTGGCGCGCGCTCTCTCTCTCTCTTTTGAAGAAACGAGAGCTTGGCTTTCATGCAAGCAATCAGTTGGACATGAGAGCCTATGCAGTAATGGACCCAAGTAACAAGTGTTGTGAGGGGGAATAGAAAAGAGAAACTTTTTGAAGACAAATAGAGAACAATTATTGTATAACTTGGCTCTTAATTACAACTTGACTTATAGCCAAGACACTTGGCTCAAAATTATTGACCTTGCTCTAACCATCTAACGAGTCAAGCTGGCACGCTATCTGGTTCTCATAATTGTTATGTTGCTCTTGAATTTTTCTAGATGCTAAACATTTAAAAGGTTTTGTGAATCCATTTGCCACTTGATCACCAGAAAGAACAAATCAAGTTTTTGACAGTTTTAGTCACCCATTCTCTAACAAAATGTTAATCAACATATTCTATGTTTGCTCCATGCATAAGCAGGATTTTGAACAAAGATATTTCATCCAATATTATCACACTACAATGAAGTAGCACGAGGACTTGAAATCCAAATTCTTACCCAAAAAAAATTAATCCACATATTTTCATGAGTTGCATTAGCAAGGGTTTTTAGACTCGATAAGTACTATACCTTTAAAATGTAGCTAGCTTACAATACATACATCACACCACATGGTGCAAGATTGGAGACCAAAAAATACAATAAATCCATTAATTGACCTTCTATCATCCAAGCTACCATCCTATATGTATTACAATATGCACTCGCAACCATTGATGATGACTGACTTATCTTAAGCACAAGATCAACTTTTTGTTTGATATCGTTCAAAATTCTCTTTGTATATACCCAGTGATCTATAGTAGGCTTATGCAAAAGTTGACAAACCTTAACATTAACAGAGAAAGCGATATTAGTTCTAGTCAAAGTTAGATAATGCAACAAACCAAGCACCAACAGCACTTCTATACTGAGTAGCATCACTAGCTCCAAAAGTCGATCATTTCTAGATAGGCAGTTTCTCGCCTTGAAGAAGTTTCATCCTAGTCTTGAGCGCAAGTAGTTATGCATGAAACTCAGATTTTGATATATGATTTGATCGCGCCACAAGTTTAGAAACAAATGGGGTGAGCTCATAATCCAACCTTTCCATGATGTATCGAACAAGTTCTTCATCGTTTAGTGTTCTTCTAGCCGGCGCCATCTTAGCTTCTAATGACTCCATGAAGTACCCTTTGATTGGCATGGATCCTTCTTGGTGCATCCGTAGCGGTGCCCATTACAAGAAGAAGATATCTTGAATACTCCCTCTGTTTCAAACAATAAGACGTTTTGATTCAAGTTCATAGAAAAAACTATGTATCTAGAAAAGCAAAACATCTTATAATTTAGCATGGAGGGAGTAGTTTTCTAGGCTTTGCTCACATGTTTATTGTCGCAACCTGTGAGACAATCGCTTGAATAAAAGCAAGAAGAAAATGTCAACAACCCACTAGGGATGCTGATCTGCTTCTCCTAGTTCACGAATTGCAGGAAGAACAAGGAAGAACAGAGTTATCTCGATGACGAGTTCTTCAGCCGAAAAGTAAGAGTGCAAATACAGAGTTTGTTTCTTAGTTGCCTTCCTCTCCACTCCTGCCCCTCTCTATATCTCACTCACTCTTGGGCTCAGCGGCACAAGCATTACAAGCCCACTGTTGTAACACCCTCGGTGTTACGCCCTAAACAAACCACCAAATTATGTCATGAGCATCATATTTATATGATAATGCATGCGATGGAAGGTGTAGATAACATTTTTATAACTTCAGATGATCAATAAAAATGTTAAATGATAAGCTATTCAATAACTCATATGTATCAAGTAGGGTTTAAAACTAATTTTTATTGAACAAAAATACTATAGAACATATATGTGGCGCTTAAATAAAGTTTAGAATATTAACTTTGTAGATGACAATGAAATACTTGCTGTAGAAAAATAACATTGCTAGCTAGTGTTTCCAGTAGCTTAGAAATGGAACTTGAAATCAAAACTAGCTTAAAGACTTAGAAAATTCTTAAGTTTAAAAACAGTTTGACAGCACCGGGTTTGCGAATTTGTTCCGAGAAATCTAGTTAAAGATTAGTACTATGTTTTAGTTCTTAGGGGTAGCCTAATATGCTCTCTTGAGCATGGTGAAGGTGGCTTGGTTCCAAGATTATTCATTTAGTTTTTACAGGTGCTTTAAAATTCGTGCACGACACACCCTCGGGATGGTTGGCGCTGTGCGCGCGGCCACCCCGCGCCGCGCACATGGCCGTGTCCCGAGTGGTCACCCCATGCCGTCACGCTGGGTCGGTCGAGCCCGCCTGGGCTTGGCCGAGGCCGGCCGTAGCGAGCCACTGGCCCCGCACCCTGCTGCCCTGCCTCGCGCTGCCGCCATTGGTGCTGCCACGGTCGCGCTGCGCTGCCATCGCCTCGCCGTCGCATCCGCACCCCCCCTACGGCTCTGCACCACTGTCCGCCCTACCGGTGGCTCTGCCGCTGCTGCGCGCGCGCTTGGCGTATCCGCGGCATCAGCACATGGCCATACCTGTTGTCGCCTCTCCCATAAAGGCACGGTAGTCGCTCGTGCCATGTCCGTAGCGCTTGCGCATGTGCGTCCTGATTGCGCTGTTCGCGTCCCGCCAAGGCGAGGATGAGCTGAGCTCTGACCTACCCCCTTCCCTCTCTCTTCGCTGCTGTCATGGTGGACTGAGCCACGCCATTAAAACAAGCAGGGAGAAGTCACCATCGCCTGATTCGTCGGGTCGTTGGCTCTGTCACCCAGCTGCCTAGCTACCCGCCCCCACCCCACCTTGAATGGAGCCAGTCGAGCTTCAATTTTAGAGCTTTTCCCCGCCACCATGCCGATAAGGCCGAGTCCGCCCATCACCGAGGGCAGCTTCTATCTGACCACCTCGGGCCAAATTGGCTGCACGGCTAGACTCGTCTCGAACCCCTCCTCGCCATGCGCACCTGAGCCATACCCCTAGTGCTGTTCCAATCCTGCTGACGCGGTCGTGTCCGCTGTGGCTTGCCGCCGAGCTGGCCGCGCTTACGTGGCCATCCTTGCTCGGGGCGTCTCCGGCCGTACCATCGCCTCGCCCGGGTCCTTGATGAGTCGCTGATGCTCACCCGCTACCTCTATTGCTCCCTTAGCGCTGTGGCTCACCGGTACGCTGTCGTCGCCAC